TAGAAGAATGAAACTGGATCCTCATCTCTCATCTCATACAAAAATCAACTCAAAATGGAACAAATACTTAAATTTAAGACCTGAAACCATAAAGATTCTAGAAGATAACATCAAAAAAACTCTTCTGGACATCCACTTAGGCAAAGACTCCAGGACCAAGAACCCAAAAGCAAATGCAACAAAAACAACGATAAATAGATGGGACTTAATTAAACTAAAAACCTTCTGCACAGCAAAAGAAATAGCAGAATTAAGAGACAACCCACAGAGTGTGAGAAAAACCTGTACAATCTATGCATCTGACAAAGGACTAATATCTAGAATCTACAAGGAAGTCAAATACATCAGCAAGAAAAAAAATCCCATAAAAAAGTGGACTAAGGACATAAATAGACAATTCTTAAAAGATATACAAATGGCCAACAAGTATGTGGAAAAATGCTCAACATCACCAATTATCAGGGAAATGCAAATGAAAACCACAATGCAATACCACCTCACTCCTGCAAGAATGGCCATAATAAAAAAATATTAAAAAATAGATGTTGGCGGGGATGTGGTGAAAATGCAACACTTTTACAATCTTCACACTGTTGGTGGGAATGTAAACTAGCACAACCACTATGGAAAACAGTGCAGAGATTACTTACAGAACTAAAAGTAGGTCTACCATTTGATCCAGCAATCCCACTGCTAGGTATCTATCCACAGGAAAAGAAGTCATTATACAAAAAAGATACTTGAATATGCATGTTTATAGAGGCACAATTTGCAAATGCAAAAACCTGGAACCAGCCCAAATTCCCATCAATCAACGAGTGGATAAAGAACACATGAGATATATATATAGAACACGTGAGAGATAAATATAGATAAAGAACATGTGAGAGATATATATATGTGTATATATATAAAGAACATGTGAGATACACACACACACACACACACACACACACACACCATGGAATACTACTCAGCGATAAAAAGGAACAAAATAATGGCATTTGTATCAATCTAGATGGAATTGGAGACTATTATTCTGAGTGAAACAACTCAGGAATGGAGAACCAAATATCATATGTTCTCACTCACATGTGGGAGCTAAGCGATGAGGACACAAGAATGATACATTGGACTTTGGGGACTTGGGGGAAAAGGGTGGCAGGTGGAAAGTACCCATTGGGTACAGTGTACACTGGTCAGATGATGGCTGCACCAAAATCTCAGAAATCATCACTAAAGAACTTATTCATGTAACCAAACACCAGCTGTTCCCCCCAAAACCTGCTGAAATTTAAAAAAATTTTTTTTTATTTTTTAACTGGTCACTGATGTGATCAAAAAAGGAAAACAAATTAAAAAAAAAAAACCTTTTAAATGTTGCTTGTGTATCACTGGTCTTGGAATATAACATTCAATGCTTCTCAAATTTATTTGACCACAGAATGTCTTTTGTCAAACTTCTGATTTACATATCCTAGAAATCAATTTGGGAAAAACTGCTGTAGTGTTCATAAAAGTTATTACATTATCAATTATGAGAGCCCACCACTCATGCTGATCCATAAAGAGTTTTGAGAACAAGGTTTTCTCCCCAACTGCTCTATTTAACTTAAGTTTTAACCAGAATAGCCCAAGTCCTCAGTGGTCCAGTAGTGTATTTGTTAATACCAATTATTCATTTTCTTAACACATTGCATAAAGTCTCTGCTGCTTAAGTCTCTTAGTAATTATGGACATCCCTGTCTTGTTTCCTTTTTAAATGCAAGTAGCTTCAGTACTCTATTATTATTATTATTATTTTTTGGGGGGTTGGAGTTTCGCTCTTGTTACCCAGGCTGGAATGCAATGGCGCGATCTCAGCTCACCGCAACCTCCGCCTCCTGGGTTCAGGCAATTCTCCTGCCTCAGCCTTCTGAGTAGCTGGGATTACAGTACTCTATTATTTAATACAATATTTACTTTAAATTTTAATAAGTAACTTTTATCAGATTTAGGTAATTTCTTCTGATCTCTATTTTACTTAGAACTTTTACTGGGAGAGACTGCTAAATTTTATCAAATGTCCACTTTATCATATAATAAAATCATATAATCTTCACCTTTCATTTGTTCAATAAAGAAGAATACTGAAATATCCTGATGGTAAAATATCCTCACATCCTAGAATAAACCTTACCTAGAATAAACCTTACCTAGTCATGCCATATTATTAATTTAGATTGCTGATAAATTTCACTCCCTAATATTGAAATAAAAAATGTAACCTTAAACAAACATATCTTAACTACTTAAAAAGGTAATTATGCTGCTAAAAAAACTAAGATAAGAAAAGAAATAACACTACATAATCTGATTTACCAGAAATCTTAGCCAAATATATTTATTTTATTTTAGTCACATTCTTATTTGTATAGATTGACAACTTTCAGTTTCTTTTAGATCAAATTAATTTTTTAAATTTCTCTATGAAAGTGAAATTATGTAATTTGTCTTCTAAAGATAAATTTCAGAAAACATAAAGTATCTAAGAATATGAACAGCAACTATGAATGTTAATAAAGCAAATTTTCAGAAAGTTAAAAGATGAAAGACAAAATAACCTAAGAACAAAAAAGATATTTAACTGAAGTAATGGTTCACCTAAATAATACCATCTATATTTTTTTAACTTACAAGATTTTTTATTGTCATTTTCTCTATAATCAAAGTGCATTCTTATGAAGTACTTTTAATACTAAAATGAATCACACAGTATAACAATACAGGGAAAAGCTGCTAATATATTCCCTATGATATCCTTCAGTCATGGATAAGCAGATATAAATGCAAAAGAATCTTAACCACTTAATCACTGTCAAGGATGTGGAGAAAAGGGAACCCTCATACATTGTTGATGGGAATGTAACTTTGTACAACCATTATGAAGAACAATTTAGAGGTTCCTCAAAAACCTAAAAATAGAGCCACCATATGATACAGTGATCCCACTGCTGAGTATATAACCAAAACAAAGGAAATCAGTACATCAAAAAGATAGTCGTGCTCCCATGTTTTGTTGTAGCACTGTTTCCAATAGCCAAAATCTGGAAGCAAGCTAAGCGTCCATCACCAGATGAATGGATAAAGAAAATGTGGCAATACATACAATAGAGTACTATTCAACCATGAAAAAAGAATGAGATTCAGTAATTTACAACATTAGTGGAACTGGAGATCATTACATTAAATGAAATAAGCCAGGCATGCAGACAAACATTGCATGTTCTCACTTATTTGTGAGATCCAAAAATCAAAACAATGGAACTCATGAACATAAAGAGGAGAAGGATGGTTACCAGACGCTGGAGAGGGTAGTCGGGGGTGGGAATGAGGTTAGGATGATTAATGGGTTAAAAAAAAAAAAAAAAAAAAAAAACAGAAAGAATGAATAAGGCCTAATAATTGATAGCACAACAGGGTGACTATAGTCAATAATATAATTGTACATTTTAAAATAACTAAAAGAGGCTGGGTAGCAGTGGCTCGTGTCTGAAATCTCAGCACTTTGGAGGGCCAAGGCGCAGGGATCACCTAAGGTCAGGAGTTCATGGCCAGCCTGGCCAACATGGTGAAACCTGTCTCTACTGAAAATACAAAATTTAGCTGGGCATGGCGGCAAGCGCCTGTAATCCCAGCTACATGGGGGGCTGAGGCAGGAGAATCACTTGAACCCGGGAGGCAGAGGTTGCAGTGAGTTGAGATCATGACACTACACTCCAGCCTGGGTGACAAGAGTGAAACTCTGTCTCAAAAAAATATAAAATAAATAAAATAAAATAACTAAAAGAGTTTAATTGGATTGTTCATAATACAAAGGATAAATGCTTGAGGGGATGGATAATCATTTTACATGATGTGATTATTATGCATTACATGGCTATATCAAAATATCTCACATACCCCATAAATACATATACCTTCTGTGTACTCACAAAAGTTAAAATAAAATTTTAGGGCTGGGCATGGTGGCTCACGCCTATAATCCCAGCACTCTGGGAGGCCGAGGTGGGTGGATTACCTGAGGTCAGGAGTTCAGAGACCAGCCTGGCCAGCTTGGTGAAACCCCATGTCTACTAAAAATACCAAAGTAACTTGGTGTGGTGGTGCATGCCGGTAATCCCAGCTACTCGAGAGGCTGAGGCAGGAAAATCACTTGAACCTGTGAGGCGGAGGTGGCAGTAAGCCGAAATCACACCATTGCACTCCAGCCTGCGCAACAAGAATGAAATTCCATCTCAAAAAAAAAAGAGAAAATGTTATCAATTTCCTCAGTTATAACTTTCAAAATCAATATTAGCCAATAAGCTTGTGTTAGCTATTAGACTCAGATGGAAATAAGTCTTTACCATAAAAAGTAACAATTAGTCACAACTGCAATGCCCTTTGAGTCCACTTAATAGCATCAATCTAACCCAACCTTAATAAAGTCTACAGGAATTTATAACACTCTTGGTTTCATAGTGTCCATTTTTGTTTAACCAAATCCTACACTATCACATAATATCAATGAAAAGAACAAGAATATATAGGCCGGGCACATTAGTTCACGCCTGTAATCTCAGCACTTTAGGAGGCCGAAGCAGGTGGATCATTTGAGGTCAGGAGTTCGAGACCAGCCTGACCAACATGGTCAAATCCCATCTCTACTGAAATATAAAAATTAGCCGAATGTGATTGTGGGCACTTGTAATCTCAGATACTTGGGAGACTGAGGCAGGAGAATCACTTGAACCCAGGAAGCGGAGGTTGTAGTGAGCCAAGATTGCACCACTGCACTCCAGTCTGGGCAACAGAGTGAGACTCCCTCTCAAAAAACAAAAAACAAAAAATATGTATATATAAAGTAAGAATTCCTAATATTCCATTTACTACTTTACTGCCAAAATTGTAACAATACAAACATTAAATAAAATACCTAAAGATATGAATGTATTAGATGAATTATCAACAATACTCACGCATCATTTGAGCAAGTCATAAATTCTCCCTTTATTTTGGGATGCCATGAACCAGTATGAAGCATTGCTGTGTGACCCTTAAAAATAAGGACAAAGAAAAAAGAGATGTTTTTAAAAGGTAAAAAATAAACTGACTAGAAACTGGCATCATTTTTAAATGTAAAATGCACGATTTTAATTATAAAGCTATATTATTTTATCCCAATTTTTTTTCATAACATGCTTTGTTTATTTCACTTTGTTTAACTCTTTGTGTACCACCCCATGCCCACTTCAGGTATTAGCTCAGTGCTTGTATATAACAGGTACTTCATAAGGTAGGAAACAGAGAGGAAAGTGACATCCTTTCTTTAGGAAAAAAAAAAAAGAAAGAAAAGGTAAAGCCATAATAAGAAAGACAGGTCCTTCTTCAAAGATTATGACTCCTTTCTTCAATGAAACACAATCAAGAATAGAAAGCTATAACAAATAAGCAAGGTGAGGGCAAGAGATTGGGAGGGAAATCCATATCTCCTAAAAATGTGTCAACAACCTTGATTCTACAATGCCTCTGTAAAAATAAGTATGTGAGTAAAGGAAGAATATATTTTAAATGACTGAGGCAAATTAGCTCCACTAAGTACAGAGAATATAAAAACACTATAATTAAAACAATGTGATACTGGTATATGTAAACTGACATATAGAACACCAAATCAACTGCAGAGTACATAGAAAACATAAACTCACACACATACACAAATGCATAATTCCCTCTCAGGCAGCAAAGTCAGCTAGAGTAGTCTCATACAGCAAGTCAGATTTAGGTGGGACAGAAAAGAGACTGGTCCTTTTTAGTATAATAGCTGCAGTGACTCTTATTCTGACACAGTTCAAAATAAAGCTATGATTAAAGAAGTAAAATGTACATATTTAAGTGACTTACAAAAAAAAAAATAACAGAAACTCTCTGGAAAGACACATGGGCCTGGAGATCATCTTCAGCCAAAGTTGTCTACAATGCCTCAAATAGTATCTGGCCAAGGCCTGACATTCTGTTCATGTTTACAGAATACAAATGAGGGGAGATGGAGACTCTTAGCACTGCAGGAGACAGGAATTGAACCAATACCTGGAGGGACTAGATGGCAAGTCCAGGAAAGTGGGTTAGTTGAGGAGGAATGGAGGAGGGAAAAGGAAGGAAGGGGTAAAGTGAAAATAAAGCAATGAGACAAAATGCTAGCAATTGGTAAATCTGAAAAAGAAGTATAAAGAAGCTATACACTCCTTTTAACTTACATCTTTTCTGTAAGGTTAAAATTATACCAAAATAAATATTTTTATTAGGTTTTTTGTTTGTTTTTTTTGTTTGTTCATCTGTTTACAGATGAGGGTCTCACTCTGTTACTGAGGCTCAACTACAGTGGTGCAACCACCACATAGCTCACTGCAGCCTCAATCTCTTGAACTCAAGAGATCCTCCCAGCTCAGCCTCCCAAGTAGCTGGAACTACAAGGCAATTAGCACTACACCCAACTAATTTTTTATTTGTTATAGAGATGTGGTCTCTGCTATGTTGCACAGGCTGGAAACTAAATACTTTTTTTTAAATATTCTGGATTCTCAGTGAAGGAAAGCCAGAAAGAAAAGAGAGGGGAGGTGGGTGAGGGGAGGAGATGGGAGGGGAGGGGAGGGGAGGGAACGGGATGGGGACAGGAGAGGAGGGGAGGGGACAGGAGAGGAGGGGAGGGGAGAAGAGAAGAGAATAAATCTATCAGGCTGCTCAGTGAGAAAAGCCTGCTTAAAAATATAAGAAGAAGAATCTGCAAGTCCAGCTGGGAAGATTAATTTGAGTCATGTGAAGATCAACAGTGACTCTGACTAGGAAGCAGCACTAAGTGTTGACAAGTGAGTACATATTTTTCACAAGTGCACATAGAAAATTCAGTAAAATCATATTCTAAGTTACAAAAGATACTTCATCAGATATTTTAAAAATTAAAATTATTCAAACTATGTTTCCAAGGGCTGGGTGCAGTGGCTCATGCCTATGGGGGGCAGCACTTTGGGGGGCTGAGATGGGAGGATCGCTTGAGGCCAGAAACTGTTTTTTTTTTTTTTTTAACTTTTTTTAAAAGCATGTTTCTAGACCACAAGAGAATTAAATTAGAAGCCAGTAAGAGAAAAGTCTCAAATATTTGTATATTTAAACACTACACTAATAGCCCATGGGTCAAAAAGGTAATCCCAAGGGAACTGAATAAAAATGAAAATATAACATCTCAAAGTTGTGGGACACAGTTAAAGAAATGCTTAGAGCATTTCTATTAGAAAAAAAGTCTCAAATTAATAATTTAAGCATCCATCTTAAAATATTAGAAAAAGAAGGCAAGTAGAAGGAAAGAAATAAAGTTGACAAACTTCTAGCCAGAACAAGAAAAGGAGAGAAAGAAAGAGAAGACACAAATTACCAACCAATTCAGGGAAAATTAGGAGATACATCACTACTGGCCCCAAAGAAATATTACTATTATAGTAATTTTATGCAAATAAATTTGGTAGCTTAGAGAAAGGAAGAACTCGAATAGTCCTATATGCACTAAATATACTGAATTCACAGTTAAAAGCTTTCAAAAATGGAAAAGAAAACCCCAGCCCAGTTGGCTCTACTGGCAAACTCTACCAAACATTTAAGGAAGACATAACATCACTTTTTCATAACAGTTTCCCCAAAACAAAAGAGGATAGTACACTTCCAGGTTCATTTTATTACCATTACCCTGATACCAAAATCAAGCACAATATAACATAAGAAAGTTACAAAACAACATCCCTCATCAACATAAAAGCTAAGCTCTTTCACAAAATATTAAACCAGTATGTAAAAAAAACAATACATTGCAACCAAGAAGGTTTTGTTCCAAGAACACAAGTCTGGTTCAATAATCAAAAATCAATGTAAATAACCACATTAATAGATAAGATAAAAAAATTCAGAAAAAACATTTGACAAAACTCAACATCCATTCATGATAAAAACTCTCAGCCAATCAGTGATAGAAAAGAACTTATTCAACTTGATAATGCATATTGTCTTAGTTAGCTAGGGCTGCTATAACAAAATACCATAGACTAGGTGGCTTAATCGCCATACACTTATTTCTCATAATTCGGGAAGTTGGTGAGGGATCTCTTCCTGGCTTGCAGATGGGCCATCTTCTCCTGTATCTTCATATGGTCAGGAAAGAGGAAGTTCTAGTATCTAGTCCTTTATTTCAGGAAGGCACTAATCACATCACAGAGAATCCACCCTCATGACCTGATCTAAATCTAATTACCCCCCAAAGGCCTGCACCTCCCATCCCCACCACTATCAGATTGGAGGTGATAATTTCAATATATAAATTTTGGAGGAACACGAACATTCAGTCTATAATAAATACATACAAGAAACCTACAGTTAACAATATATTTAATAATGAAAGATTAAATATCTCTTCTAAATGTCAAGTTTTAAGCAAAGACACCTAATCCCACCACATTCACATTCAAGGTCAATCTGGAGGTCCTAGTAAGTACAATAAGGCAAGAAAAAAAACAGGCATTTGGATAGGAGAAATAAAAAACATTCGTTCCAAGATACTATGACCATTTATGTAGAAAATCCCAAGGAATCTATTAAAAAAAAAAAACATTCAAAAAAAAGAAAAATCAACAAAATTTCTATGCACTACCAACGAACAGTTAGAAACCAAAAAATATTTTAAACAGTGCTATTTCTGATAACCCAAAAAATGCGTGTGTATAAATCTAATAAAATATAATCAGGACCCCTAAGTTTATGTATTATAAAACTTGTGAAAGAAACAGAAGGCTTAGCTAAATAAGTGAGGAGATATACTGTGCTGATGAATCAGATGACTCAATATAGTGAAAACATCAATTCTCCAAATTGATCTTTAAACTCAAAATAATTCCAAATAAAATCCCAATAAAGTGATCTTGTGGAAGTAGAGACTAGAATGATAGCTACCAGTGACTACGAAGGGTAGGGAAGGGGGAAGATAAAAAGAGGTAAGTTGATAGGTTCAAATATACAGCTAGAAGGAATAAGTTCTAATGTTTGATAGCACAGTAGGGTGACTACAATTAATGATGATGTCTCATATATTTTTAAATATCTAGAAGAGAGAACTAGAAATATTCCCAACACATAGAAACAATAAATCTTCAAGGTGATAGATACCTCAAATACCTGAACTCGATCACATATTCTATGCATACAACAAAATATCATGTATACCCCACAAATATATACAATAAGAATGTATCCACAAAATAATTCTAACAAGATTCTTTGTAGATATAGACAGGGTGATTCTAAAATTTACGTGAAAAAGTAGATATTAGAATAGTCAAAACCATTTTTAGAAAGAAAAAAAAGTTGGAAGACACCCTACCAAATTTAAATTTAAATTTGTTAACATGTAAGAAATATTTAAAAGCTGTAGTAATCAAGACAGAATGGTACTGTATCAGAAAGAGGATAAATACATACCCATAAAATACAATGGAGAACTTCAAAAAAAAAAAAAAACTCTCAAGTATCATTGACTATTGATATTTAATATTTGACAAAGATGCAAAGGCAATTTAATAAAGGTCAGTTTTTCCAAGTAATAATGGTGAAATAACTAATCGATCATATGACCAAAAAAAAGAGAATCTCAACCTATTATTCATTCTGTATACAAAGGTTAATGTAAAATGAATGATAGCCCTGAATGCAGAATACAAAATAGTAAAACTCTAAGAAAAACTAGAGAAAATCTGTGTTTGATAAAAAGCTCTTACGTATAACACCAAAAACAGAATCCAGAAGACACTACAACTGACACCAAAAAATACAAAAGATCATTTGAGGCTACTATAAACACCTCTATACACACAAACCAGAAAATCTAGAGGAAAGGTTGAATTCCTGGGAACATACAACCCCCACAGAGCTTGCATCAGGAACAGAAATCCCGAACAAACCAATAGCAAGCAGTGAGAATGCATCGGTAATTTAAAAAATAGCCAACCAAAAAAACCTCAG